TGTATACATAATAAACTTTTAAAAATCTTTAAAAATAAAAAGAGTGATCCTAGATTTAAATTCTGTACATCATGCTCTCTATGTCTTCTGTGTGTGATTGTGTTTGTCTGTATGAGCTGTGTGTGTCTGTCTGAGTGGTGTGGCTGCCTGTCCCTCACAAAGGCTTTGCTCTGTCTTTATTGAAAGCACAGAAATCATCACATGGAGAAGGAATGAAGGATTCTTTACAGAAATCTTTAACAGAGTTTTACAAGGAATTAAGTCACTGGCTCCAATTAATCCCAGCTCAACAGATAATAAACATCATTGTTTACCAAACAATAGATGGGGACTCTTAACCTTTATGGTAGATATGGAAGTTGCTTTCAAGTTCTGTATTTACTGCTTTCAGCAAATGACACACATGCATTATTCCGAGTCAGGTCATGGAAGAGTACATAATTTAAGACCGCAGCAATTCGCCCAGCAGTGGCTGCACACGCCTTTAATCCCAGCACGTGGGAGGCAGAAGCAGGCACATCTCTGAGTTCAAGGCCAGCATGGTGTACAGAGGGAGTCCCAGGACAATCAGGGCTACTCAGAGAAACCCTGTTTCAAAAAACCAAAAATAAATAAAATAAAGACTGAAGCTATGCATTAGTTTAGATTTTAAAAGTTGATTACATAGGAAATCCAAGGCAAGTCAGGTTGGTTGTTAAACTGTTCTCTTAATGGCAGCTTGAACAAACAGTCTGAGTAAAGGTGGGATAGCAGTCTTAAGTGACTTCCAGGTGGCTGTGAGGTACAGCACAAGTTCCAGTCTCTTAGAATGTCAGAGGTATTTCTAGAATATTGCATTGTCACAAGAGTCAGGTTTTTACTTCCCACCAGAAATACTTTCACTATAAATATGTAAACAGTCCAACTGTAAATGGATTTTAAAAGACATGAAGCATTAACACCAAAATAAACCTGTTGTGGCTATTAATAACAGACAAAGTATGTTTCAAAATAAAAAAGTATCAGTGCTGGGCAGCGATGGTACAAGCCTCTGATTCTAGCACTTGGGAGGCAGAGGCAGGCAGCTCTCTGGTCTACAGAGTGGTTTCCTTTTGTTTGTTTGTTTTTCGAGACAGGGTTTCTCTGTGGCTTTGGAGGCTGTCCTGGAACTAGCTCTTGTAGACCGGGCTGGTCTCAAACTCACAGAGTTCCACCTGCGTCTGCCTCCTGAGTGCTGGGTTTAAAGGCATGTGCCACCACCGCCCGGCTAGAGTGATTTCCTAGGCAGCCAGGGCTACACAGAGGAATCCTGTCTTGAAAAAACCAACAAAGCCAACCAAACAAAAATCAACAAGCATTTAAGAAAAAAAAGATATAGAGTATATATCTATATAAGGCATTTCTTCAGGGTGATGATATGTAAATTGTCAGGGATCTGGTAGGACTCATCCCCTTATCCCCAGTTTCTTTGTCATCTGACTCCTCAGAGACTCCTGGAGATAACAATGTCGCAAACACTTTAATGGGTCTTGTGGGACCAATTATTCTCCCTTCCTCATCTGCCTCCTAAAATCCCATCATGAATTCTTCCTCCCTAGTTGTGAGCCGTCTAGAGGGAAAGATGACCCTGGGGATTCTCTTGCCCACAGAAGACCAGAGGCTTCACAGAGAAGGGGCTACCTCACTCCTTACCCTGTGAGATCCCCAGATTTAGTCAATAGACACAAAGTCTGCCCTTGTCTCTATTGTTCTTTCACTGAGGCTTGTGCTCAGGGCTCCAGAGCAAAACCAGTACTATCAAGTCATGTGCTAGGAACTGGCTTCTAGAACATCTCATCTGGTGTTGGATGACCACCAGGTAGACCAGATGTCTGAGAATCATTACTTACTGGTGTAGCTTCTGGAGGGAAGAGACTATTCAGGACAACCATCCTACAGATATCCAGGACACGGAGGATTCTAGCAAGTTAGGAAAGGATTTGTGGTTCAAGAAGGTCTGTGTCCTTGTGTAAATAAACACCCCATGGTTTATTGACTCTTAAGGTCCAGAGACCACCTGTTGTAAATCATTGATGTTTTGGCTCATTTGTAGACCTATTGGCTAAGTTTTCCTGCTGTTGGAACCTATTGACCCTCAGGTAAGACACTTCACTGTTTGAAAATTGCTGAGACCCACCAGTGCTTAAAGACCACTGGCTGGGTTGTGGCCTGGTACCCTTCCTGTATGTCTTCACTGTTTTGTCACAGGACGGAAGTTGAGGAATCAAGTATAAATAAGGTCCTTTCCAACTCTTTCACCTACTAGGTGCTCTACTCCTAATCCATTATTTTTTATTTTATGCATATGGATGTTTTGCCTGTGTGTATATCTATGTACTACTTTTGTGTCCAAGGAAGCCAGAAAAGAGCATTGGATCCCCTGGAACTAGTTACAGATGGTTGTGAGCTGCCACACATGTTCTGGGAATGGAGCCCAGGTCCTCTGGAAGAGCAGCTAGTGCTCTTAACCACTGAGCCATCTCTCCAGCCCCTCCTCCTCCTTTTAAAAACTAAAGCTCACTTCAAGTTTTCTTCCTCTAAGGTACAAACTGATATTCACAGAATGGTTATTTCAAAGCATATCAGATACCAACTTCTCTATAATCTTTTTTTGACTACTTCTTTGTATTCTGGAGGATTTTTAATTTAGCGCAGATTGGAGAAGAATGGTACACAATCAAAGGGGAGAGGGAAAGAGACAACCTGCTCCACTGGTGGGTCCCCTTCACCTGCCAGTCCAGGCATTGGGCACACCCCTAGTTTTGCATTGTTGTTTTTCTGGTGTCTATTTTTCTAATCAGAGAAACACTGATAGGACTGTCTGCTAAACTAAAACACGTCCTGAGGAAAGAGGATGCCAAGTTAGATTTCAAGACGTTCTACTGTACTCTAAATGACCAGTTGTTGGCTTCCTTGAAGTTCTTGTAAGTTCTTTCCACTCTGGAGCTTCATGGTTATTTCTCTGAAATCCTATAATTTGTCTTAGATTTATGTTGACTTTTGACCCCAATGGTGTTGAGTTTCTTCAGTGTGCTGCTGGTCTGTGTTTAAGTGATTTGCAGCTTACTTTCTCACAAGCAGCTCAACTCCAGAACCACACATTCTGCAGTATTAGAGTTCAGTATAAAGTAGCCACTATCAGGCTAAGGTTAGCTTCAATGTTGTATCCCAGTGACTTGAAATAAGTCAAGACACTGTTCTTCATCTGCTCCAGAAGCTCTGAATTCAAGTCTGCCCTCTGTTTTTAATGTCTGCTTTATCAGACAGAGCATGTTATCTTTGAGCATTACCCAAAGTGGTTTCTATTATTATTATTATTATTATTATTATTATTATTATATGTGTGTGTGTTTTTATATGAGTGTATGCCACTTTTGTACATGGAAGTCAGAAGAGGGCATCAGACCCCCTGAAACTAGAGCTACAGGTGGTTGTGAACTGTCTGAAGTGCGTGCTCAGAACCGAACTCAGATCCTCTGCAACTCAGCACTCTCAAACTTTGAGCCATCTCTCCAGCCCCCGAAATGCTTTTTTAAATATCACACACAGACTTCCATTGACAGACATGGTCTCTTAGTTACTAACCCACAGCTAAGTTCAGTTATCTATATCTCGACTCTTCTGCCCTGCTACTGTCAAGTCCCTGGAAACTCTGGCAGTAGGATTAACCAGTCTCTGTGTAGTCAGTACAACTCTACATACTTCTGAATCCTCCCAACATCTTTACAGATGCATCACTTTCTCCCTGAAAGACAGGGAGAGGACCTCACATTTGCTGTTTTTGTCCTACCTAGCCATGCCTGCTGGCTTCAATGCCTGAAAAATTGGGTTCTCATTAAAGCACTGGGTACCGAAACCACCCCAGGACCCAGACATAATTCCAGAGTGACAGCAGAGGACCAATAGAGCAGGGAGAGGGTGGTGTTCACAGGATACACTCTTTAAGTAGGAAAGACATTTTTACAGACTTCAGCCCTAGAGGGGGCCTGGTCCTTGTCTATGAATAGCCCCTGAATTCAGGATAATTTTGTTTACTGGAAATGATGGGTACTTTCATAAACATGGGTGGGAGTCTTCCCTTGTTGGATGATTCCCTTATCAACAAAGTCAATTGGCCCATTATACCACTCACATCTCTCCATATCCTCAGCTGCCATCATCTTTAGGAACCATGGCAGCTAGAGCTAGACTATGCTGCACCCACAGGGGTGGATGTCCAACCCAGCTAGCGAACTACCTTCAGCTCCCCAGAAAGTCTGTTCAGTTGCTCTTGCTTAGCGTGTGTTCCCATCTAAACTATTGGGTGGTAGGTTCCATGTTAAATTTTGCTATTGCTTTATCTCATTTATCGCATGTATTTATGCAATAGGTCCATCGCCCCTGTGAGAACAGCGATTGCAAGCATCCCTTGAGTTTCTTCAGTGTGCTGCTGGTCTGTGTTTGAGTGATTTGCAGCTTACTTTCTCAGTTTTCACAATATTTTAAGATAATTGCTGTTCTCACAGCAGTTTCTACAGACAAGAAAACTGGGACTCAGAGCCATTAAGTCCATCCCACAGGTGACATACATGGTCAGCAATGAAGCCATGCTCACTCTGTGCTTACACAGAACATATTACCCATAGCCTATGAACTCCCTGCCATCAGGCACTCTAGACTTTCTTGGGAGGGGAACACAGTCATGTAGACAGAAAACTAAATGTGGATTCAAAGAGTGAATGTCTCATTATTTAAAAATTCTACAATCTCAAATGGATTAATTTCATATAGTTGTCACATTTCCCATTGTAAAGCTTACTAATCAACTGACCAACCCAGTAGAGAAGGTCCTCTCCTATGGCATCCTTGTCTACAAAGCCAGATCTCTTCAGAAGACCCTAATCTCCAGAAGGCTGTCCTTAAGTAGTGCTGTGAGGCCTGTCTGTTCAACTTGACTTCTGTAGTTCATCTGTCTATCTACACCCCCAAAGCACTGAACAAATATGGAAAGGACAAACCTGAGCCAAGAGATGGAGTTTGAACTCTTGGGCCTCACCAGTGACCCCCAGCTTCAAAGGCTACTCTTTGTGGTATTCCTGGCCATGTACTCCATCACTGTGTTGGGGAACCTGATCATGTTCTGGCTAATCCATGTGAGTGTCACTCTGCACACACCCATGTACTCCCTCCTCAAGAGCCTTTCCTTCCTGGATTTCTGCTACTCTTCTACGGTGGTCCCCCAGACCCTGATGAACTTCTTGGCTAAGAGAAAGGTAATCTCTTACCTTGGCTGCATGGCTCAGATGTTCTTCTACGCGGGTTTCGCCACTAGTGAGTGCTATCTCATTGCTGCAATGGCCTATGATCGATATGTGGCTGTTTGTAATCCTCTGCTCTACCCAACCATCATGTCTCCTAACGTCTGTGCCTCTCTGATTGTGGGCTCCTACAGCGCAGGATTTCTTAATTCTCTCATCCATACAAGCTGTATCTTCAGTCTCAACTTCTGTGGTGCTCACGTGGTCACTCATTTCTTCTGTGATGGACCACCCATCCTGTCCCTGTCCTGTGTAGACACTTCACTGTGTGAGATTTTGCTCTTCATTTTTGCCGGTTTCAACCTTCTGAGCTGCACTCTCACCATCTTGATCTCCTACTTCTTAATCCTCATCACCGTCCTACAAATGAACTCAAGCCAGGGCAGGTTCAAGGCGTTTTCCACCTGCTCGTCCCACCTCACTGCTGTGTGCTTCTTTTTTGGCACAACACTTTTTATGTACCTGCGTCCAAAGTCCAGCTACTCCCTGACCCAGGACCGTACGGTTGCTGTCATCTACACAGTGGTGATCCCAATGTTGAATCCTTTAATCTACTCTTTGAGAAACAAGGATGTGAAGGAAGCCTTAAGGAAGGTTTGGGGCTGGAGATCAATAGAATGATCATATAGACTCATGCGTCCTTAGAAAGCATTGTGGTGCCACCCTGAACTTGTTCCCAAGCTCGCCCTGTGAACCATGGGATGCCTGCTGGTCTGCAGTGCTTCTGGAACTATCTACCAGAAGAACTGTTGGTTTTATAGAGACTAAGACTCTAGAAAGGCCTTTTACTCATTGGCCAGGGCTAATTATGTCTTTGTTCTAATATTTCATCCATAGTTTGAAATTTGTGAATACTTTATTTTCCTATTAGGAACAGACATTTTGTTCTTCAGATTAAGGTTATTTCCAGCGGGGTATAGTGAGGCCTCACACTTTTTTAAAATTTTATTTGTATTTATTATGTATACAGTGTTCTGCCTACATGCCAGAAGAGGGCACCAGGTCTCGTGATAGATGGTTGTAAGCCACCATGTGGTTGCTGGGTATTGAACTCGGGACCTCTGCTAGAGCAAGCAGTGCTCTTAACCTCTGAGCCATCTCTCCAGCCTCAACTCCTCACACTTTTAATACTAGCCATTGGGAAGAGAATCACACTCAAGGCCAGCCTCAGTTACTCAGTGCAACCGGGGATCATCAAATTAAGCAAAGTAATCAGATGATAAAAAAACAAATGTTACATGCTATCTTTCATTCATAAACCCCAGATTTTATGTAGATATATCAAATCTCTTTTTTTCTCCATTCATTTATTTAGCTCATAAATAAAGTCTTGCACAATTATGATACACAATACAGTATGTTCACAATGGCATGGCTAATTTAAACCAATTAACATGTTATATCACACATATTCATCATTTTTGTTTTGAGAACACTTAAAGTATACTATCTCACAACTTTTAAAATATAGCATATTGTTATCAACCAATTTATCATGCTTTCAGTAGACCTCAGGACTTCACAGAGTCTATTCCTCTTGTCCAACTGCAGTTTTATATCCTTAAACCAATCGTTTCCCTATTGTTAAAAGACCCACATTGAAGCCTAATAGCCACAATTCTGCTCTCTGTTCCCATAAGTTCATCATTTCTAGGTTACACATAAAATTGAAATTGTGTGACATTTGTCTTCCAGTGTGTCACTTATTTTTTTTTGGCAAGCATATAATTTATATATCAAATTATATGAGATATATCAAATCTCATACACACACACACACATATGAGGGGGACATGAAGGTAGAAGCAAGATTGAGGAAATGAATGGGAACAGAGGGAGGGGAAACGGAGAAAGTAGAGTGGAGAATGAACATGATCAGAGCATATAATACACATGTATCAAAATTATATACATCACTATCCATGATGAATATGTCAATAAAATGTATATAAAATAAAAACCACTCACACAAAATGGTATTCTCTTAACTATCTTGAAAACCTTGAGTCCTTGGGAGAATTCTTCTGGTTCTTTACAATTTCCTTTTTATAAAAGTTGGCTCTTGGGGCTGGAGAGATGGCTCAGAGGTTAAGAGCACCGACAGTTCTTCCAGAAGTCCTGAGTTCAATTCCCAGCAACCACATGGTGGCTCGCAACCGTCTGTTATGAGTTCTGGTGCCTTCTTCTGGTGTATACATGGAAGCACAATGCTGTATACATAATAAATAAATAAAATCTTAAAAAAAAAAGTTGGCTCTTTTGTCAAGCAGTGGTGGTACACTCTTTTAGTCCCAGTACTCGAGAGGCAGAAGCAGGCAGATCTCTGGGTTCGAGGCTAGCCTGGTCTACAGAGTGAGTTCCAGGATTGAAAGGAAAAGTATCGGCTCAGGACCCCAAGATCAAGTTCTCAGACCAAATTCTCAGCATAAAGGAGATTTGTTTGCCCCAGAGGGAAGAGGGTGGAATAAGGAACAGAGACAGGAGATAGAGGAAGAGGGAGACGGGGAAGGGAACAAGGGAAAGGGAGCAGGGGTGTTTGTCCCAGAGGACAAAGGACTGACTGCCTCTGGATAGAGAGGAGACAGATGTGGCACTTAGGAAAATGGCAGTTTATGAAGGTAAAATGGAAAGCCTCATGTTAGGATGAGGTATTTAATTTTAGTTGGGCATATTAATTAAAAGGGGCTTTTGATTGCTGATTTCAATACTTTGATAGATGGACCTTGGTAGTCAGCCTCAGAAGTGGGGAGTGGCCAAATAAAGAAATGGACCTTGAGGACTAGCTTCAGCAACATAATCTAACAGTTTTTAGCAAGGCAGAGAGAATTGGGGAGAAGGGCAAGGCCTGACAGAGCCACATGTGTTAGTGGGCTAGAGTCCCTTCAAGGATGGCCAGCCCTACACAGAGAAAACCAGTCTTGAAAAACAAACAAACAACAACAACAATAGAACCAAAACATCAACAACAAAAACCGTCATGCTGGGTGGTGGTGATGCACACTTTCAATCCTAGCACTCAGAAGAGAGAGGCAGGAGGATCTCTGTGAGTTTGAGGCCAGTCTAGTCTATGGAGAAAGTTCCAGGGCAGCCAGGGATACACAGGTCTTGTAAAACCAAAAGCCAAAAGCCAAAAGCCAAAAGCCAAAAGCCAAAAGCCAAAAGCCAAAAAAAAAAAAAAAACCAAACAACAAAAACAAAAGAAACCCAAACCCAAACCCAAACCAACCAAACAAAACACAAACAACAACAAAAAACCCAAAAGTTGGCTCTTCACTGCTGAGCCACCTCTCTAGTTCCCCTTGTTTTGTTTTTTGAGACAAGGTCTCACTGTGTATCCTTAGCAGCCTCAAGATCCCAATCCTCCTGACTCAGCCTCCCAAGTGCTAGGACCACACATCCACCAGGACTGGCTTTTGGAGCCAGACTCCCTTACTTATTGGCTATGAGACCTTTTTTCCCCCTCCTAATTTCAAACTTTTTGGATTTAAACATGTTATTCATAGGTTCCATTACTACACAGTTTGTGGTTTGGGTTGAAGAAACAGCTAGAACACTTGTTAGCTTCTCAATTTGCAAAGTTACTTTTAAAAAAAGTAATTTGGCTATTGTTAAACTGGATGAATTGGTCCAGTTATTTTCTGAGTCAGAGGGATTCTAGCTTTGTGTGTCTCTTTCATCTATAGGTGTGTATCACATTTATTTGTTTACCTATGGTAGATAGGCACGGTCCTTGGTGTATAAGTAGAGGTCAGAGGGCAACTTGCCATAGTTGATTCTTTCCACCATGAGGGTTCTGGAGATCAAACTGCGGTTGGCCAACTTGGTGGTAAACTTCCTCACCCGATTTTCTCAAAAAAGATTTATTTAGCTGGATGTGGTGGCGCACTCCTTTAATCCCAGCACCCAGGAGACAGAGGCAGGTGGATCTCTGTGAGTTGGAGGCCAGCCTGGTCTCCAGAGTGAGTTCCAACACAGCCAGGACCTTTACACTGAGAAACCCCGTCTTGAAAAACAAAAACAAAACAGCATCCAAAAAAGAGGTTTATTTTTATTTTTGTTTGTGTGTGTCTGTGTGGGTCGTACATGTGAGTGCTGGTACCCATGTAGGCCAGAAGAGGGCGATGGATCTCCTGGGGCTGGAGTTACAGGCACTGAATGGTGTGGGTGCTGGGATCCAAATTCAGCAAATGCTTGTTACAGCTGAACCACCTTTGACCTTCATTCTGCTTTTTATCCATCCCTCACCCTCTTGCCACTTTTGGCCATCTTCCCAGTACCACTGGGGACAAGCTGCTCTCCCTGTTCTTGTTTGGCATTTGCCAACTTCCAAGTTCAATTAATTGCATTGACTATTTTACTTATTTTTTAAAAGATTTATTTTTGCATTTATTTCTGTGTATGTGAGAATACCCCCAGAGACCAGAAGAGGGTGTTGAATCCCCTGGCGCTGGAGTCACAGGGTTGTGAGCTGCCATGTAGTTGCTGGGGTCTGAACTAGGGACCTCTAGAGGAGTAGTGCCTTTAACAGATGAGCCACCTCTCCAGCCCCATGGTGACTATTTTTAAATAAGAAGAATCTTACAATGGGAGCCCAATCAGGATATTATTGGGCTGGACCCCTTTACTCACTGGCCCTTAGAAAGTGACATTTTCTTGTTTTTTTTTTTTTTTTTTTTTTTTTTTTTTTTTTTTTTTGGCCTTCCTTGATCTAATGTCATTAAGACCAAGTCAATGAAAACCACGTGATTCTTCAATTTAGTCTGATTCATTCACTCCAGAGTGGCCTTCTCAGTCATGCAACTGACACTCTTCCCCTATCCTTCCTGTATCACTGAGAACCAGGAAGCTAAGGATGGTTTAATACACAGGCAGAAAGATCACAATGAAATTATGCCTGGGTTTTCATTGGAATTCATCTTCTATAGTTAAGCTCTTTGTTGGCCTCCTGTGTTTGTGCTGACCATATTTGATTGGGTACAGTGACTTCCCTTAGTTCTGGTCAGGGATTTTATTAGAGGAAATTTAGTGTCACTGCCTTGTGTGGCACTAAGGCTGGGCCAACTGGGTTCAAATCTGAGGTCTGTTTTTTCCTGTGTGAGTGTAGTTATTTACCACTCATGGCTTTGGTTTCCTCCTTTGTAATAACAAGACTAAGACAACAATAACAGAGAATTGTTTAGCTGGATGTGGTGGTGCACGCTTTTAATCCCAGCACTTGGGAGGGAGAGGCAGGTGGATCTCTGTGTAGCTCTGGTTGCCCTGAAATTCACTAAGTAGACCAGGGTTGGCCTGAAACTCACTATGTAGACCAGGGTTGGCCTTGTCTCAAGAAAACAACAACGGAAACCAAGAGAACTGTTTTACAAGAATTAAATCAGTTAACATAGGCAAGGCACTTAGGACAAGGCCTTGTATGTTGTAAGCTCTTGGTGACATGTTCTTATTGGACTTGATGCTGACTTTTTTTTTTTAATAAAATTCATTTTCTTTCCTTTTAAAAATGTCTTTATTTATTCTTTGATAATTTCATATAATCTATTTTGACCACATTTTCCCCTCTCCCAACTCCTTCCAGATCCTGCCTTTTCTTTCTAATTAATTTTTTAAGTTAACATACAAAG